ATTTGCATCCAGATGGCTCACAGACAGCACCTTTTTGCTGTTGGGCGAGGTCTTGTTATGTTGTCCAAGTGCCTGGGGCTACAGGCTTGTGCCACTGTTCCCAGCCACTCTCATCTTTAAAATATTCAAAATCAAGCTCATTTTCCATCTCCTCACTCCTCACAACCTGTTAGTCTTTTGGTTATCATTTTAGAAAGTGGCACTGTCAGTACGACAGTGAGAAGTCTGTGTCCCTGAAGGTGTGCATGGGAGTCTACACCTATAATCTCAGCACTATGGGAGGCTGAGGCAGGACAATCACAAGTTCATTCTAGCCTGTGCAATTTAGTCTTAAATTTTAAAAAGGGTTGGGGGAGGCCTGCTTGATGCAGAAGCTCTGGGCTCAATACCCAGCATCTAAATGAATGAATGAATGAGCAAAGTCACTTCTTTTTTTTTTTTTAATTTTATTTAAGGAGAAAAGAAAAAAAAAGCAGAGAAAGGGTACAAGTTATACCGATTTACAGAAAAAAAAAGAACAGTAGGAAATCACTAGTTAATGGATTACATATTGTCATCTTAGAAATAATTGTTCAAGTTGCAAAATTAAAGCTTGTAAAGTGGACATTCCATCAATGATACTGCAAACAGTTCTTTTTTTTTTTTTTCTTTTTTTTTTTTTTTTTTTTAATTTTATTTAAGGAGAAAAGAAAAAAAAAAGCAGAGAAAGGGTACAAGTTATACAGATTTGCAGAAAAAAAATGAACAGTAGGAAATTACTAGTTAATGGATTACATATTGTCATCTTAGAAATAATTGTTCAAGTCACAAAATTAAAGCTTGTAAAGTGGACATTCCATCAATGATACTGCAAACAGTTCTGTTCAATGATCCAATAAAACTCTGTGATATCATTTTCTATCTTATACACTTAAATATACATGCAGTTATATAGTTTAGAGCACTTTCTCTTCCTCTCTTCTGTACCATGACTATTACACTTTTGGGTTTCATTGCTCCCACGGTTCTTACTACTTTTTTGGAAGAGAGTAAAACCAAATGTGACATAACAGAACAGAATCGGTCAAGTCAAAAGGGTGGACATAATAGATAATGTAAAAACATAATACAAGGTGATCAACAATGGTTACCATAATGCCTCCCGCTATCTCTAATAGAATTGCCTATATCGTTAGTTATAATACAATTGAACAAAACAGTAAGGAATAAAACCAACAAAACCAAAACATTGGAGACATTGTAGGTCTTCAAAAGTATAAAAGTCAATGAGAATGGGCGTTATAATGAATCTCACTATCTTCACAGCTGTTGCCTAAACTTTCGAACCTGATACTATCCAGCAAAACAGAATAGGGGGATATCAGTCAAAAACAAGATGGTGAGAGTAATACAGGACTATGAATCAAGATAATGGAAAGTCAAAGTGGGTTACTATAATATATCCTGCTATTTTTTATTTATTTTTCCTTTAATTAAAAGGATAAAAATAAAAAAGTAAATAATGAAGTGGAGATTGAGATAAAAGAGGGCATAACAATGAAACAGCGCCGATCAAAACATAACCATTTAAGCAGAATAGTGTTTCACCACCAGATAATCCTAACCTAAAAGTAGTTACCATATTGTCTCTTTCCTTGAAATCCTTGAGTACAACTTCGTATACTGTAGCATTAAGTATATCAAAATAATGTAAAACCATTTAAGAGAATGACAGCATTACAAAGTATTTAGAATCGACTAACAATATGAACAATGGTTTCTCTATAATCTCCTTGTCTTTAAAAGGTTTTTGCTTATACTATCGTACATAATAAAATCCAATAAGATACAACCTATTTAGACCATTGGAGACAGAAGGACAAAAGCTAGATGAGACCGAAACAAGATGATACTAAATCAGTATTACCTATTAAGATGTCATTTTCTCCAAAATAGCTGTTCCTATCATCCAATCTTCTCTGCCTCATTTCTGTTGAGCTCTTTTTCTGTCAGTAGCTGTCAGTTTGTCTTCTTCATTTTGTTCTCTGCTCCATTCGTTGTGGCCTTCCCGCCACTATTTCTGGATTCTTTGTTATTTTTCTTTTTTTAGAATATCCTGCAATACTCTCTGTAAAGTTGAATTGGTGGTTGCAAATTCCCCCAGTTCCTCTTTATCCTGGAAGCACCTCGTTTTTCCATCAATTTCCAGGGACAGTTGTGCAGGATATCTCAATCTTGGCTGGAGATTATTATCTTTCAAGGCTTGAATTATTTCCCCCCACGCTCTTTGTGATTTGATGGTTTGTGCAGAGAAATCTGCTGTAATTCTGATGGGTGTTTCCTTGTAAGTGGTCTGTTTCTTGTCTCTGACAGCTTTTAATATTCTGTTCTTGTATTGAATTTCTGGAATTTTTATTATTATATGCCTGGGTGTTCTCGGTTTGGGTTGTAGGTAGCTGGGGTCCTGTATGCCTCATACATCTGAGTATCTTTACCTTTTGCTAAATTAGGAAAATTCTCCTGGATTATTTCTGTGAGTAGCTTTTGTAGTTCACTTGTTTGTGTCCCTACTTCTTCGTTTATGTTCTTAATCCTTAAGTTATGGATCCTCTTATCATCTTCTAGTCTTTGTATTATTGCTGTTTGTTTCTTTGTTATTTTTAAAAAGTTTTTCATTTCATTCTCCCATATTACAAGTCTGCCCTCCAGTTCAGATAGTCTGTCCTTAGTTTCTTTCAAGCTGTTATGCCAGTCTTCGATAGACTTCTTAGTATCTTGGTAGTCCCTTTGAACCTGCTTCACGTATTCTATGCTTTCTCTGTTTTCTCCATCAAACAATTCTCTCCTCTTTTTCTGTTCTTCCATTCCACCATCTGTTTTTTCCTGGGTGGTGCTTAGCATTTCTCTAACTATTCTGCATATTTCTAGCTTCAGGTCGTTGATAACTTCATTCCTGAATTGGTCTATGAGGCTCTCTATATGGCGCTTTATGTCTATTGGTGCGGTGTCCGCTATTGCCTGTTTCTCAGAATTGGGGGCCGAGGAGCCTTTCTTGTTGCTGCCTCTTCCCATATTCTCTGTTTCTTATATATGCAAGCTTATATAAGAGGCCCAGCTTCTCTCCCAGTCAGCCACAGTCTGATCGAATTGCACGGGTTAGGTGTTCCCGTTCATCGCTGCACACCAGGGAGTTACGGACCAGGCAGCCTATGCGTCGCCCCTCCCGGCCACCATCAGGCTCTGGGATCTGGGTTGGGACAGCCTACCAGGTCGGCCGGCAGCGTCACGCAGGCCAGGCACTTTTCACCAATCCCGCCCGAGAGGGGAATGTGTGGCTGGAGTCGCCACCGTGCCCTGCTCCCTCAGGATTGCTCGGGCCCAGAAAGTCCTCCGCTGGAGTCAAACTGTGGCAGAGTGTCAGTTTCTCTCACTCACCTCACCACAAGTCAGTGCACGCCTCCCTGCCCGTCCTGTTTTTGACTCCGTTCGCAGACTCCCGTTCTCAGAGCTTCCGCGCGTCTCTCTCCTTGCCGAGCCGCTGTAGAGGCAGCCAGCTGCTGCGTGGCGGGAAACCCAAATCGCGGCTTCCAATGGCGTGGGGTCCAGCCTCCACACCGAGGCTTTTCTGTTCCTGTTTTAGCACCAGGACTGCATTCCAAGTTGGTTTCTCTCTGCCCAGTTCGTTCCTGAGTCAGCAGAGCATATCTCCACCTGCTTATGTCTCCTTAGTCCACACCATTCCTGGCTTCTGAGCCGAGTCTTTCAGAGAGCCTCCGGTAGTTGCTGTTATCTGTCCGCCATGTTCTCCCAGAAGCGCAAAGTCACTTCTTGATTAAACATTCCCTCCACACATCCTCATTAGGCTTCCAGTTCTTCAGCTTGTCCTGTTGAGCATCTCTCTGTTTTCCTGTCTGCTTCTCCCCATATTCTTCCTCCTTTCCAGTCCGAACAACACAGTTTCTTAACCTTCAGCAGCTTCCTAACTTCCACTATTCCAGTGTCCCCATCTGTCTTGTTAAAGAGCAGCCAGTAGGATCTTCTTAAAATAGAAGGCAGGTATGTCACTCCTCTCCTTAAATACATTAGCAATTTTCAGTATACTTAAAATAAAACCCCAGACCCTAGCATAGAACACAGAGTTTAGTAAGCTCTCAATCCTGCCTGATGTATCTTGTGTTTAACACTCCAGTCTTAGCAAAGTGTTCACGTCATTCTTCTGAGCCTGCTTGGTATCGTATGTTGCCTTTGCCTGATACTGTTATTTCTACATGTGATGTCCATCACAAAGCTGATCTTCTGAGCTTGGCAAAATTGAAAAACTGGAAAGAACTTAGGTCTTGGAGCCAATAAATTAGTCCATTTCAGAGACAAGTTAGAAATTCTAATGTGAGATAATAAATGTGCCTTATTATTTATTCTATTTGTATTGGGTTTTCTATTTCTTGGAATTAAACTTTTAATTTTATATGTTGTTCCTCTGTTTGCTCAGAGAATGTGGACCTGGCATATCTCCTGTTACTGTGTGTATGATGTTTCCTTTTATAATTGTTACCAATTTTTTTATAATAGTTAACATTTCATAAGTCATTCCAGCATATTTAGCCATTGATCGATATATTTTCTTGGCATTTTTGCCTTAACTTGGCAAATTTAAGTCTTTCTGATACTAACAGTTTTAGTTATTTCAATAATTCTTCCCTCTCGGGGCTGGAGATTTAGCTCAGTGGCATAAGCACCTGCCTTGCAAGCAGGCAGTCGTGAGTTCGATCCCCGGTACCAATAAAAAGAAAAAAGACAAAAAAAAAAAAAAACAACCCAAAAAAACAAAAATAATTCTTTCCTCTCATGATTGTTTTGCTACTGACTTTGCTTTAAATTTACAACCACCAAACACTATTATATTAGTCAGTTTTCTGTTGCTGTGACAAAATTCCTGAGAATAACAATTTAAAGGAGAAGAGTTTATTTTGGTTTGCACCTCAGAGGTTCAGTCGATGACCACTTGGCTCCATTTCTCTTAGGAAGCCTCTAGCGAGGCAGAAACATCATGTGGAAAAGCTGCTCACCTCGTGGTGCACAGGAAGCAGATAAAGGAAGAGAGCCAGGTACCAGTTTACTCCCCAAGGTCACGCCCTCATGATCCACTGCCTTCAGCGAGGCCCTACCACCTGCTTCCAGCACCTCCTGTTAATCCCATCAAAGTATGATGTCATCAGTGGGTTAACCCACTGGTGCAAGTAGAGCCCTCAGCATGCAGTGACCTTCTGAGGGCCCCACCTCTGAATGCATCAGACTTTAGATTCATTTTTAAGACCTAAACCATAACAACTACTAGATAAATTGAGTTGCCTAGGAGTGTCTGTATTTACTCTTCCAGTATTCCTCCAATTATTGTTTAAATGCTTCTCCTGTTGCTACAGACCTCTAACACTCAAGCCAGTGACTGCATATTTCACTGTTGAAGATGAAAGTAATCAAGAAAATTTTTGTGTGAACATATGCCCACACACAGCTCCCAGAAAAGCCTTGCTGCCCATTTGCAAGGAGCATGCTTGGCTGATAGTCCCCGGCTACTAATGCCGCCAGGGTTTGGGCGAAGGCCACAAGCCTGTCCGGTGGACCCCAGTCAAGGCAGCGAGCAGGAGCCTGTCATTTCCGTCCAGCAGGACTCCTCCAGTGGGCAGTCGTGTTGGGGCATCGTCATGGGCATCTGGGGGCTGATGGCTCCCCAGACCTGTTTTCCCCCACAGACGTTAATCCCCTGTTGACATTTTAACTTTCTCATTCTGTCTCATTGTCTGCTTCCTGAAAACCTACTGTGCAAATACCTCATCCTCTCTCTGTCCATCTATCAGGCTGTTCCTCACTTACACTGACTGGCCTCAGGGGATGATATGGGCTGCCCAGAACCTTTTCTTGTGTATACCTTTAAGCCATTCTAGGATTTTCCCTCTGAAATCGTTCCCTTTCCCTCTTCCATCAGTAACTTTCTATAGAATTGTTTTTGCTAACACACAAACATGTAAAATCTCTCTTTCTAAAAAAAAAACCCAAAATGGGCAAAATACTTTCCTTGATCTTTCATTCCCCTTCATATTGTATTTCTTACTCCTCTCCATAGAAAAACTCTTAAGAATACTATGTTTCCTTTTCCTTTCTCATTTTGTCCTGAACCTAGTCTGCTTAGGCGTTTGTTCCTGACAGCAGACAAATTGAAACTAAATGTGTCGGGGCTGGGGATTTAGCTCAGCAGCATAAGCACCTGCCTTGCAAGCAGACAGTCGTGAGTTCAATCCCCGGTACCAATAAAAAAAAAAAAAAAGAAAGAAAGAAACTACACGTGTCCAGTCTCTCTTTGTTTCTGTTTTTGGTCCTATGTATCTTTCATTTATTTTTATCACCATTTATCTTTCAGGGTCTGCCCTCTCCCATGTCTTTTGCCACTCATTTCAATGGCTTCCCCTTTCAGACTTTTTTACTAAATCCTTTAGAATGTCCCCCAGAAGTCTCATGTGTTCAGAGCTGAGACTTGGAAGGTGTTTAGATTGTGGGCCGTAACACTGATTAGTGGATTAACCCACTGATGAGTGCGGAGCTGAATGTGCTGTTGGAGGTGGAGTCTGCTCAGAAGAGGTGGGTCACTGGGAACATGGCCCCGAAAGATACATTCTTGACTGAGGCCCCTCCTTTCTTTCTGCTTCCTGGCTTCCTTGAATGAGCCGCTTTCCTCTGCCATGCTGTTTCTGTCTTGGAGAGAGCCAACCATGGACTGCACTCTGTGTAACCATGAGCTAACATACACCTCTCTCCTCCAGTTGTGGGGTCAGGTATTTTCTCTCAGTGATGGCAAAGTAACTAATACTCTTCCATGTGGGCCTGGGGTTCCTCTCTGTCCATGCTCGGGTCCTTGTTGATCTCTTCTGGTCTTCATGGATGTAAATACTACAGATGCATTGACTATACCCAAGTTCATATTCTGGCCCTGGCTTCTTCCCTAACTTTTAAATTCATATATTCAACTGCTTGAGTATTTCAGTTTGTGCTCTGTGTTAGTAGCTCTGCCACAGAAAGCAGAGGGCATCAATTTTGATCCTGTGAGATGAGTCCATTTCTTTAAGATGTTCGGTTTTTAAGTGTTGGATTATATATAATATTAGGTAATTTTGTGCAGTTTCTCTCTCTCTCTCTTACTTCATGTACTTACTTTCTTTTTGTTATGTGATTTGCCAGAGACAGGTTTGAGGTTGGCTTGCTTTTTGTAAAGATATTTACTGGATACTTAGAATAATTTAGAATCTTATTTTAGCTATTTTCAGATATGTAATTTAAGTAATTTAGTGTGATGAAAAAACAATTTTATCTTCTGATCATTTGAAAAGATGTTGATAAACTATATGCTTCATCTCTACTATAATTTTCCCAGCTTTCAATACCATGCTTATTAGCATTTAGTTTCTGGAATCCATTTTTCATGTTTTGAAAATGGAAACATCTGTGCTTCGTCAGTCTTCTGGCAACTCTTGTGTTCCTCTCCATGTCTCAAAGCTGCTGACAGTGGTTCCCAGTTACAGCGCTCAGTGTTATGTTTTATACTCATGGATGTAATTAACTGCTGGCTGAAGATGTGAACCAGATTTAGGGAACTAGGTGTGTTCTTGCTGTGCTTCAACTGCTTCATAATAATGCTTATTTAGCCCTCTTAAATTTGAAAATTATCTTTCTAGATGAACGTAAGTGATGCAGCTCTTATGAACAATTTATCCCCTCAAGCAGCAGGTCTTTCTCTTCTAATATTTTTTTAGATCTAATAAAATTTCAAAATCATTTATCACTTTTTAAAGCTATGTGGTAAGAATATATTATATAGAGAGATTGTCTTTATTTGGGTGATAAGTTGTATGCTTCACTGGAAGATGTTGAACATATTTTTCTCTACTTCTTACCTTTTGCTGGAGGATTAAAAATGAAAGGGTTCATAAACATAGACATATAAATCATTGAACAGACCTGAGAACCTAGAAATGAATTCATATTCATGCGATCAATTGATTTTCATTAAAGGTGCCAGAGAAATTCAATGGGAAAAGAATGGTTTTTCAAAAAGTCATTTTAAAATGCCTCGCTGTCTACATGGAAATGAAATGAACTTTGATTTCCTCATGTCATATATCAAAGTTAATTTAAAGTAGATCACGGGCCTAAATTTCAGGCCAAAATTAGTATGTAGTGTAGAAAAAAAAGTTGGTAATCTTGGGATAAAACACAGAAAGCATGAACCATACGTGAAAAAATATACTTCAAAAAATTAGTCTTCTGTTTGTTTAAAACATTAAAGAGAAATGACAAGGCAAACTACAGCTTAGGAGAAAATATGTGCAGACATTATCTGAGAAAACATTTGTATCCAGTTCTCATTAAGAACTTTTACACTTAATGATCGGATACGCAATTTTAAAAAACAGGCAAATGTTTCATATAAACTCTTAATAGAAAGATGTTCGACTCTATTGGAGGTACATGGTGGCAGAGGCCTGTAACCCCAGCACGCTGGGACATTGCGGCAGGAGGCTGGTAAGTTGAAGCCCAGCCTGGGCAGTGTAGAAACTTAGCAAGCCCTTGTTTCAAAATAAAAAAATAAAAAGGGTTAGGAATGTAGCACAGTGTGAAGGCCCAGGGTTCAATCCCCAGTACCAAAAAACAAAGTCAAAAACAAAATAAACCACCAAAAATGCCAAATACTGATGACAGTGAAGCCCAGTTCAACTCTCTGGAAACTCAGAGCGCTACAACCATTGGAAAACAATTTGGCAGTATCATAAAAATGGAAACTAAAGGTACCATAGGACTCAGCAGCCCACTCCTAGATGTATAGCTAAGAGAACTGAAAGTACATGGCCAAGCAGATGTGGTGGCTCATGCCTGTAATCCCAGCACTTTGGGAAGCTGAGGCAGGAAGATCACAAATTTGAGCCGAACCTGGGCAACCTAGCAAGACCCTATTTCAATGTAAATATTTTTAAAAGGCTGGGGTTGTAGCTCAGTGCAAAGGCTTTGGGTTCAATCCCCAGTACTGAGTTAAGGTACTAAAGAAACTAAAGAAAAAAAGAAAGAAAATTTATGTGCAGACAAAGATTTCACATAAATGTCTCTGGCAACATTATTCATAATAGTTGAACAACAGAAACGACTTAAATACCCATCCAGTGCTAAAGATATAAACAAAACATGGTATATGTATTTAGCAAAATACAAACTCAGAACAAAATAATATGCCCATGTCCAGAGCAACCTACGTGCATCTCAGAAACTTCACGGTAGGTAGGGAAATAAATCAGATACAAAAGACAGATGAGTAAGAATGTGCAATTCTGCTCTTGATCTTAGCCCAAAGGCCCAGAAGCAATTGGATGTATAATTCTGAAGAAGCCAAAAGAATGAACCAAGATGGGGTCAGGGCCTGCCCTGCAGCTGTAGGTAGAAGGATGGAGATGGCTGGGCTGTGGGGGGCGTAAAGGGAGTCTGGGGGACCAGTTAAAGAGCTATGTAGGTCATCGCCGGTGGTGGTTGCACAAGTGTATGCAGCTTAAGCTGGGTGGACTTTACGGTATATATGTTATGCTTTGGTCATGGTCTGAAGAGTGTGTGCATTAAATCTCAGAGTGATTTCTGTGCCAAAAAAGCAAGAACTACTGTTCAGCAAATAAATTGTCCCTGGTGAGCATCAATTTAAAATGCTTAAGCTCCTTTTCTTCGAAATATAATTGTCTTTGCTTATTATAGCTATTGCATGTGAAAAATACATATCATTGTAAATTTCATAGTCATTATGATTTAAATAATAGAATGAATTGTGAGATTGTTAATAGTTTCCTGCAAATCTCTATTAGTCAGTTTAATTGTCCATTAATCTCCTGTGTCTAACAAATTCAGGAAAATGAAAATAGTCAAAAAGCTTATTTGCATAGCTGATACTTGAAATTACAAGGTATATTAAACTGGGCATATGCCACATGCCTGTAACCCCAGCATTCTGGGAGGATGAGACAAGAGGATTATAAATTCAAGCCTGGTGTGAGCAATTTAGTGATCTTGGGAGACCCTGTCGCAGAATGAAAAAATAGAAAAGGACTGGGGTGTATCTCAGTGTGGAGGCCCTGGGTTCAATTTCTAATACCACTGGCTAAGTAAAAACACATAAAATATGTAGGCATACTTTTTTAACATAAATGCTGGTGCTGGTCATGTAACTGTAAATAATGTAGCATATTATTTGCCAGAAAGCAATGTCTACCGAGAATAATAAATCCTAAGTAAATTAATCCATGCTGAGCTATTAATTGTTTTTCATCATTGTTGCTACCACTACTGTTTTCATCACTGTCCACTCTCAGAAGAAGAGTAATTTTTAAATTTCTTATCCTGGATTGAAATTTTGAATCATGCAGCTTTAGGAGCAATGCAAAAGATGGTACTTCTGTCAACAAAGAAACGGGCACATTGCCAGCAAACGACACACTTCCCAGAGAGGCTTCTGGGAAGAGTTCATCGCAGGGGCGGTGGCTAAAAGGAAAGCAGTGGCCCCTGAGAGTTAGAGCAAGGGCTGCGGTGCGCCCACCTCAGCGGTAGAGCACCTGCCTCGCCCTGGGCTTGGTCCCCAGCACCACAGCATGGAGGAAGATGGAACCAACTTCCGGGGCTGTTTCAGCTAAATACAATGTGTAACTTCAGGTAAACCTTACTCTCAGAATGCCATTTATTCTGTGAATGTGCTTCGGAATGAAGTCATTTGCCTCTTTGATTAAATGTAAAGCAAGATAAAAGAATTAGGGAAAATGCAGTAGATCTCTTTGACCCTGTGAGAGGGTGCCTCTTTCTAGGTCTTTATGTGAAAACATTAGTGCTGTCAATGGACTCGTGTCCCCTGCCGCTAGAATCTGGTCTGGCTGTATTTAGAGATCCAGATAAGGGTGGTAGAGATCACCAGGCCCCCAGCTGAGCTCTGCAGTTGCAGGTGGCCTGCTGCAGCCTGGTATTTTGTTACTGCAGCCTGAGCTGACACAGGGAGTTAATGCATGTGGAGCATGATGGACTACAGCAAACTAAACTTACTAAGAACGTGTGTTCTGTCAAAAAATTAGACCCCCCCCCCAATAAAAGACCCAATCCAAAAAGGAAAGCGGAATGGACACTCCACACAAGTCCCAAAGACCTCTAAATACCTGAAGAAGTGCTCACCATTGCCAACCTCTGGAGAAAAGCAAGTTAAAACAACACAGAGATTTTACCTCACCGCTGAAAGAATGGCTGTGCTCAAGTAATGAAATGACACATGCTAGCGAGGATGTGGGAGAGAGGATGCTTCTGCACTGCTGGTGGGAATGCAAAGCTCCGCAACTGCTGTGGAAATCAGAATGCAGATTCCTCAAAAAGTAAACATAGAAATTCCATTTGACCCATTACTCACCTCCTCGGAGTCCTCCCAAAGGATTGAAAGACATCGTTTTACAGCACTCCGTTATAGCACTCCGTGCACACTCGTTAGCAGCTCGCTTCATAGTAGTTAACCATAGCCCTAACCGTAACCCTGCATCTTGGAGGCAGCCTGTATCAACAGAGGAGTGGATAAGCACTGCTGTGTCCTAAAGAAATAAGCTTGAGTCATTCATAGAAAAGGGATGCCCCGCCGAACTGTAACACGAGGTAAAATAAATCAGACACGTGGGCTTCGTTATCACAGGGTTTTTCTTACGTGAGAAACCTAAATTATAAACAAGTGAAATGAAAGGTAATTGGAAACAGGGAGATAGAACTTTATCAAAGGGGAAGGGGATGAAGAGGCGTCCATGTGCCAGCTCCGCACAGGAATGTAAACAGTCGCTACTGCAAACGTGGACTGCTTCTACTACTACTACTACTAGTACTAATTAAAAGAATGTATGTATGTTCTAAGCCTGGTGTGTGCCGCCTACTGTAGCTGTAATCCTAGCTACTCAAGTGGCTAGGCAGGAAGATCCCTTGAGCTCAAGAATATATGTCTGATTACCTTTTGGCTCAGTTAACTCTTCCTTGTAAAACGCCACTCAGGCTTGATTTTTGTGTTTTGAGACAGGATCTCCTTGTAACACAGGCTGACCTCAAACTCACGGTGATGCTCCTGCCTCAGCTTCCAAGTGCTGGGATTATAGTTGTGCATCACACTGCCCGGCTCCCTATTTAGTCAAACATGTGGTATAGAGTTCAGAGCTTCTAGTCTCTAAGAGCAGGCCATGAAAGCAAAGGATGGTTAGTTAAATCATGAATATTTATCTAAAGTAGTACAGTACTGATGGCACTTCAGAACTTGCTCTGAAGGATCAGTTTCTGTGACCATCCTGCTGTTTTAAGTGGTTTTGAGGCGTGAGTGTGAAGCTCAGAATGTAAGCTCAGGTTGTTGTCTTTCTATCACGCAGCTGAATTTCCAGTTGAGATTTCATTCTGCAGGGAAGGCAGGAATCTACTCACTCGCTTTAGGGCTTTTCAACCCTCTGCATTTTACCAGTACGCATGTTGCTTTGGGTTTATGGCTTAACTCCTGGGGCCATTTAACTCCTAAAACTTCCTGTTCGTGGTGGCGTCTGGTCCTCATTGGTCACAGAGACTTTCCTGGCGGAGTGCACAGCTGTGCTTGTCCAAATCTCAGGTGCAAGAACGTCATAGCACTGCTTTCATGCATGTTCCCTGACCAACATGAATGTTCTGAGTGGTCAAAAACCCCACTTGCCTAACAGCCAAATGATTTAAAAGTCACTTCTCCAGAGTCTTCCTGTCTCCCTGGGACAAGGCTGCAGGTCTGCTCTGCTCCTGGATGTCCGCAAACCCGTTTGAGGGCTTTGCCACGCTTGCCCTCTGTCGTTGAGGTGCAGGGCACAGAAAAGCCCTCTTTGATGCTTATTTTTGATACAAGTGCTTTATAAGTATGGGTCCTACCTCACCAATTTAATGCTTGAAAACTGTATGGCTCCAGGGAGGAGTGGGCAGTGATGGAGGTAGAATAGGTTAGGATTGGTGGAAATAATAAGGTCTGAAGTGTGCTTTATCACTAAACAGTTCTTTGATAAACCAGTTGTTTTTCCAGGTAAGCAATATCTTCCCCTGTTAAGTTTTGAAAGGGTAAAATCATCATTCCTCAGCATTTGTAAAATTAGTATGTATAAAGGTTTTAAGTCATTGGGGTTTTTTTGGATTTGTTTGTTTGGTTTTTTTTTTTTTTTTTTTTTTTTTTTTTTTTTTAAGACAGGGTCTCCTATGCAGTTCGGGCTGGCCTTGAGCTCACTTTGTAGCTCAGGTTGGTCTCAAAAATGCAACAATCCTCCTGCCTCAGCCTCCCGAGTGCTGGGATTACAGGTATGTGCCACCATGCCCAGCTAAAGTCATTGTTAATGACGGTTATAGATGTTGAATAGTTCAAAGAAAAATCTAAAGAGCAGATCCATTTATAGTTCAAAATACTTTCTTTTTCTGTGTTTGTGTGTGTATGCCTGTGTATGCTACTGAGGACTGAGCTCATGTCCTTGAACATGCTAGGCAAGCTCTCTACCACTGAACAACACCTCCAGCCCCTTATGTCTCTATTTTTAATTAATATCATAATTATGCCCCATGTTTAGGGAGTACACTATAACATTTCAGTATGTGTAAATGATGTGTTATAATCCAGTCAAGTCAATTAGCATAGCCATCACCCCAGGCATTTGTCATTTTGTGTGTGTTGGGAGCCCTTGAAATCCTCTTGAGTAGCAATTTTGAAATATTCAGTTCCTTGCTGTCAACTATAGTCATCCTATTGTGCTGTAGGACATTTTTTTTCCTGAGCCAGGTGTAGTAGCCATTGCCTGTAATCCCAGCACTCAAGAAGCTGAGGCAGGAGGACTGCTGTGAGTTCACGGCTAGCTTGAATTACAAAGTGAGACCCTGTCTAAAAAAAGGGTGGGGGCCTTGACTCAGTGCTAGAGCTCTTGCCTTGCATGTACAAGGACCTGGGTTTGACCTCCCACATCACAAAATAAAAAGTCAAAAAAAAGATGGAAGTATGCATCCCAAGGAGAAGCACAGAGTGGCTTTTCTCTTTGATTTGTTTTAAAAATTATTTTGAAGGTAGTAAAATACAATCGAACAAGATGGAACAAAGCCATTTGGGACAGTGTAGTGAAATTGGTACAAAACTTCACAGCAGGTTACCAGGATAACAGCAATAGGTACCAATATCTCATTATTTTCACAATAGTTGTTCTTTCAATCAGGAATAGAAAAATCAACCAAATACAGAACATTATAGAACTTATCAAAACAATATTAAATACAGCAATACCATTAATCAGAACAAAGCAAAACAGTGATAAAAATATTTGCCTTCAAAGAGATGGTAGAAGGGAACCCCCCTTTATTTGCTGTATTGCATGTGGTCACCTCCTAAGAGATGCTCAGATCTCTGGCTCCCATTTGCTAATGAGTGGGGTGGGGGTGGGATGTTTGACACTCAGCCTGTGTGCCCGTAGGCTCACAGCTGCTTACCAGGGAGGAGAGCTGGTTGCTTGATTTCCCAGCACCCTGAGTTCCAACATGGCGTGGATCTCAGGAGAGGAGCATCACAAAATAAAAAAGGAGAAGCACAGAATGGCTTTTCTTTTTGATTTTTAAGGAGGAAAGATTTATTTTGGTTTATAGTTTCAGTCCTTGGCTACTTGGCTCTGTGGCTTCGTAGCCTGTATCGAGACAGAAACATCATGGCAGGGAAGAGCAGAGTGTCTCATAGATGGGAGAGCAGGGGAAGGTACAACCCCAGCGCATGCCTCCTAACATTTCCTTCCTCCTACTGGACACCGCCTCTCAGTAGCCAGCCCATCAAGCAGTGAACTCAATAGTGGATTACTCCATTGATGTGATTAGATTCTTTACATGCCAGTTACCTCCTCCTATGTCCCCATCTCTGAACCCTGCTGCATTGGGACCAAGTCCCATGAATCCTTGGTGGGACATTTCATCTCTGCTCTTGGTCCAAAGGCTCATTGTCCATTAATGATGCAGGGTGCATTTAACCCATTTCCAAGAGTCCCCAGTGTTTTAACCATTCTAAAATTGTTCAAAAGACCAAGAATAGAATCTCCTTGTAGACTTGGGCAAACCCTAGCTGTGAGCACTATAGAAATTAGAAAGTTGCACACTTCCAAAATATAAGAGTGGGAAGAGTACACATTACCATTCCAAGAAGGAACAGGGACACAGAAAGGAGGAAGGAGACCAAAAGAAAACTGAAGCCCAGCAGAGTGAACATTAAATCCTGTAGCACTATGTGACATCTGGAACATGTAACCACATGCATGATGTGAGTGAGCCCCTGTGCATGTGATCATGTAACTACAGACAGTCCATGTTCCTGGCATTTCTGCCTTCCTGGGGTCTCCACTGCAGTGTTGGCTTCAATCTCACAGCTTCTTGCACGGCATTCCCCGGGACTGACCAGAGGATTCTGATTCTTTCACACGTTACCTGGTTTCCCAGGCCTTCCTTTGAAATTGGATAGAAATTCCTTGACCTCCACTGCATTCTGCATGCCCACAAAAGCAGCCTCTGCTACCAGCTCAGCAGTAGCTTGGCCCTCTTGGACCATAGCTGCAGCTGCCTCTGGGTGCCTAGATGTTGAACTAGGGGTAAATAATTCTCTAGGTGTCCCTGTGTGAGCAGGGCACCCTGATATTCTCAAAGTATTTCAAATGAATCTACGTTTTTACACTCCAAATCCTGCAGTGGGTGAGCAGCACATGGTGGAACCAAAGCAGCTCATTCACTTCATGGCAGATGGGAGGAGAAAGAAAGGACACAGAAGTGCAAGTTGCTCATTTAAAGTTTACCTTTAGTATCAAATTACCTACCTTTTTGGAATGGAGAGATTATTTAAATTAGTAATAAAAAATTTTTTGGTCCTTTTGTCTTTTTGAGACAGGGTCTTGCTATGCAGTTCAGGCTGGTCTTGGGCTCACTTTCTAGCTTAGGCTGGTCTTGAACTTTGTCATCCAGGCTGGTTTTGAATTTGCAAACGATTCTCCTGCCTCAGCCTCCCAAGTGCTGGGATCACAGGAGTGGGCCACTCCACCCAGCATCTTTTTTTTTGTCTTTTTGAGACAGGGTCTTGCTACACAGTTCAGGCTGGCCTTGAGCTCATTTTGTAGTCTGGGTTGATCTTGAACTTGCAATGGTCCAAGTCCTCCTACCTCAGCCTTCCAAGTACTGGGATTCCAGGCAAGCACCACCATGCCTGTCTTAATAATGAATATTTTAAATTACTTGTTTAGATTGAACTAGCACTTATTGAGTACCCAACAGCCAAGAACACTCACTTTTTTTTTTTTTTTTTTTTTTTATTTAAGAGGAAAAAGAGAAAAACACAAAACAAACCAAAGCGGCGTAAGGGTACACGCAATACAGAACTACAAAACAAAACAAAACAAAAAACCATAACAGTAAGAAATTACCTGCTAGTAGATTACACACTATTTTCTTGAAAATAGTTCCTCAAATCACAGTATCAAAGAACACAAGGTGGACATTCAAACAGGGAGACTGCAAACAGCTGGAACACTCACTTTTTTAAGCTTATTTAATGTGCTCTCAAACCAGTTGACGGTGTTCTGAATTGTGTCCTTCCAAATTCATGTGTTGGAATTCTAACTCCTAATCGAAGAACGTGACTTATATGGAGATGGGGTCTTTAAAGAGGCAATTTAGTGGAAATGAGTCATAGGATGGGCTCTGGTCCACTGGTGTCCTTATGAGAAGAGATCACTTGGAGGGCAGACCAGATGAAGGGGTAAGGAAAAGCCAAAGCAGTGAGAGAAACTGCAGAAGAAACCAGCCCTGAGAAACCCTGGTCTTGGACTTCTGTTGTTTAGGCTGCCCAGTCTGTGACACTTTGCTTTGGCAGCCCTAGCAAATCAGTACACTGGTGAGGGTCTGGGTCACATTCCTCCCCGGGCACTGGCAGCTCTATAAGTGTTCTAAGCTAAGAAGAATCACACCAGGATTGAAACCCAGATGTTCCAATTCAAACCCAGGTTTTCTGACCATAATTGCAGTGCTTTTTCTAGTATAAAACCATAATTTGCCGAATAATAGAATACTTTGGAAAGCATTAGATACCAATGTAGGAGACATACACACTTAGTCAGACTGAGCTGCCGAGTCCAGAAAAACCCCATAATTACTCCCCTTCTGTTCTTGGCTACAAATGGAGTCCAGCTTGGTCCCCATATTGGCAGGCTTGGGCCTCAGCTGAGTAACAGGAAGAAGCCAGCCCATGAATATGGTAGGTGGGAGGACTTTGGCTGGCGACAAATAAATAGGGAATTAGTTGCACATGTTTCTTTGTTAGTGTGAGAGAACTAGAAAGCATATGTATGCTGGACAATTATAGTTAACTTCATCTTCTCATGTATAGTTTAGCTTTGTTTTCAGACAAATCATTGAAACTATTCCCATTTACAGATCCATGAAGTATACATAGATTTTTCAAAAGTATAAGCCATGGTTTACTTATACTGATTTTCCTTAAATGAAAAATGAGGGAAGCTTCTTTGAAATAGGTAAAGATCGTGAGTTTAAAATACAAGTAAAAAACTGATCTTTATTATTTTTATAGTATAAAAATACCTTCCTTCATCTTACAATTAAGAACATTTAAAAATAATAAATTCAATGAATAATACAAACATGGTTGGAAGATGTCAGTGAAACGGGTGAGGTAAGGAGAGGAGGATGCAGAAGTGTAATTCCCATTGCTCTCTGGAGTGAGAACAGTGTTCCCAAACATCTCTGCGTGGAACACTGCTCCTGCCCCCTCGGCCCTCTCATCTCCCAGGTCTCAATTTAAATGTCTCATCTAGAGACAAACCTTCCACTTGCGTCTGTCCGAGTCTCAGGCTCGCTGTCTCTGCTCTTCACACCCGTAGCACTGCGGCATCCTCTATGACACATCTCACTTGCCCCTGCTGGTTCCATGTCTGTGTTCCTGAAGGGAATGTGAACCCAATGGAGGCTGTGATCAATCACATTTGCCTTACTTATTCCTGAATCCCCAGTGCCTGGCAAACTTCTGGGTGCACGGACACTAAGTATTGAACGATGAGAAAACTGAGAAGCTTGACATCGTGTATCATTAGGTTCATAGTTAGGTTTATTTCTTACAGTGCCTGTTGAAAAAGAAACTAAGCCAAGACATCCCCTATGCTTGCTTTTTTTTTTGTATTTTTTTTATTTAAAGAGAAAAAAACCCAAAACAAAACAGTAAAAGGGTACAAGTAATACAGAATTTCAACAAAAAAATATACAGTAAGGAATCACTAGTTAATAGATTATATATTGTCATCTTAGAAATAGTTGTTCAAATTACAAAATTTAAGAATACAAAGTGGACATTCAGACAAACTGCAAACAGTTCTGTTCAATGATCCAATAAAAACTTAGTAATATGGTTTTCTATCTTACACACTTAAATACACATGCAGTTATATCCTTTAGATCACTTTTGTTTCCTCTCTTTTTTACAATAACAATTACACATTTTGGGTTTTATTACTCCCACTGTTATTACTTTTTTTTTGAAGAGAAAAAAACCAAATGTGACAAAGCAAAACAGAGTCAGAACAGAAGGATAGATATAGTACATGATGTAAAAAACAGAATACCAGGTGATCAACAATGGTTACCATTGTGCCTCTTGCTATCTTAAAAAGAGTTGTCTATATCATCAGGTATAATAGAATTGAACAAAACAGTACAGAACAAAACCAATGAAACCAAAACATTGGAGACCTTACAGGACTTCAAAAGAAGATAATAGTCAAACCATAGTGGGCATCATAGTAAATCTTATTGCCTTCAAAGTGGTTGCCTATACCCTCAAACTTGATACTATCAAACAAAACAGAATAGAGTAAAATCAGTCAAAACAAGATGGGGAGAGCAATACAGGGGTTCAAATCAGGTTAGGAGGAAAACAAAGTTACTATAATGTATCCCACTATTTTTAAATTTATTTTTCC